TATGGGAATCTTAATAATGATAGTAAATTCTTAGGGAGGATATATTCAAGAGTTAATTCCAGTAATGGTCCTCTGACTATGTTGATTTTCCACATTTGATCCCCAACTTTTAATTTGGACAATTTAGACACTTGACTTTTAAAATCTTTCCAATGTTGGTCCTTCCGTTAGTTGGAGGTTAAGTGGATGTTAGTTTGAGGGGTAAGGTAGTCATTCATAATTGTTTTTTTTTAAAGTAACTTTATTCTTTGCTTTTTCTTCTTCTTCTTCGCATCATCATCACCGGGATCAGTTCACTGCCATTTTTTTGTTCAGTTCTTGAATCGTATTCTGGCTGCTTGATATGGGTTTGAAGGGATTTGTTGAGGGAGGGATTGTTTCCATTGTTGGCAGGTGAGAATGCCATTGTAAAGAGCCATGTGGCCCTCTGCTTTGATCGTCCTCATGGCACAGTCCAGGGCGCCGGCGTATGGCGGCCGCCTTTCCCAGCTCCACCTTCATGTTCATCATCCTCGTTTTTAGCACGTCCACTGGATTCGATGCCACCGGCACGTCTCGGCAGCTCCGATCCCACCGGGTGACTTCTTTGTTTACATTCCGCAGTACGGGTGTGAAACTGCATCTCTAAATGTCACTGTGGCAGCTTCTATCGTTCTCCATCACTTCGGAGGTAACAGACATTCTTTTTTAGATTGCGCGTTTAGTGTCCTGACCTTGTGCTGAATTATTCACTCCAATATATTCATCATCTTAGCATTTAGCCTTACTTAATTGCGTAAGTTTGCAGGGATATGATTTTAAGTTTAGATTGAATGTTAGAAGTGTATGACAAAAAAGGAATGCAATAAAATGATGGCCCATAAAGTGGCAAAGTCAGTCCAAGTTCTGATACAATTGCAATGGACTCTGAACTCAAAAAATTTGGTTTCAGGATATACACAAATATAGATTAACATGTATGAAATTTATAGTTAAGGTGGGAAGGACGTAATTTCAGAATGATAGAGAACTGAAACTAAAATAGTAGTTCAGAACTCATATAAAAAATGCAGTGTGATAGAAGTTGTGTCGGTTACACTGGATGTAGGGAGGCACCTGAACTGCATTAAAGAGGCATTTGTTATCTCTGTTATTCTTCTAGTCTCTAGGTTTATCAACTTGGCTGTCTATTTGGGGCCGGGCTTATCGCCGGTGGGATCGGAGCTGCCGAGACGTGCCGGTGGCATCGAATCCAGTGGACGTGCTGAAGACAAGGATGATGAACATGAAGATGGAGCTGGGAATGGCGCCCTGGACTATGCCATGAGGACGATCAAAGCAGGGGGCCACATGGCTCTTTACAAGGGCATTCTCACCCGCCAACAATGGAAGCAATCCCTCCCTCAACAAATCCCTTCAAACCTATATCCAGCAGTCAGAATAAGATTCAAGAACTGAACAAAAAAATGGCAGCGAACTGTGATCCCGGTGATGATGATGCCGAAGAAGAAGAAGAAGAAGAAAAAGCAAAGAATAAAGTTATTTAAAAAAAAAATAACAATTGTGGAATGACTACCTTACCCCTCAAACTAACACCCACTTAACCTTCAACTGACGGAAGGACTAACATTGGAAAGATTTTAAAAATCAAGTGTCTAAATTGTCTAAATTAAAAGTCGAGGATCAATGGTGGAAAATCAACATAGTCAGAGAACCATTGCTGGAATTAACTCATATATTCAATGTAGTGAAGCATAACGTATCAATTCGTATTTCTTTACTTGGGAAATGAGCTAGTAAACCTATGGGGGAATCTTAATAATGATAGTAAATTCTTAGGGAGGATGACCTATGTAGTATGTCTGTACAAATTAGGAATGAGAGAGTAATTGTAGGGAGAGAGAGCATGCTATGTCTTGCATATATTTAGAACCAAAGTTATTAAAGTAGTCTTCATACCCTATATCTTTAACATTCATATATAAAATTGAGCCTAAAGTTGCATTCTCCATTTCTCCTGCTCCTTTTTTTTCTTCTCTTTTTTTTTTTTTTTTTTTTTCTCTGATTGTTTAGTTTTTTGCACAAACTATAATTCTGCTTGTATGGACCTTTCTTATGTTGGCTTGATTATAAAGCATTGTCGTTTAATTGCTAGGGACATAGGGGACGTTGTGGTCTGTTATATCAGTAGGTCAGCGAATAATGCTGTTTACGTGCTTGCGTGGGCAGCTGTTTCATCGTCTGTCCTAGGTGGTTGGGAATCTGTCCTGTCAGGTTGTATTTCAGGCTTATTATGATGAAATGGAGTTCTTTGATTGTCAAAAAATGACCTAAAACTTGATTATTCAATTCATTAGCAATCAATGTAATTATAATGCTAAGGTCACTTTTGAATTAAGAGCATTACTAAAAGGTTACAGAGTTGAGTAGGAGATCAAATTAAATGAGCTAAGTATACTCTAAATACATCCCGGTATACCTAACGTAGTTTTGTGATTGTGGGTAAATAAAATTTTTTTTGTCTTTTTTTTTTTTGAATGCTATGACTCAATTACAATGTAGTATCTGTTCATTGACCTAATTTTTTTTTTTTGTCTATTACAATGAAATCCATATTTAACTACTAAAATAATCATTAGAGTTTTAGTTTTGAATTGTAGTTCCTTTTTTCTTTTCTTTTTTCATTTTCACGATAGACCAATCATTTGAAAAAAAAAAATTGAAAAATAATTCAATTGAAAAGGATGAAGGAGCGTTATGTTGTGCATGGTGCACACGGTTGCAAAAACGACGTCGTTTTGACGTTCAACTTAAAAATAAAAATTCAGTTTTGATTGCAGTTAACGGCGTTATGTTGTGCATAATTTGAATTATACATTCAGAATTGCATAACTATACATCCATAACTTCATAACTATACATTCAGAATTACATAACTACACATTCATAACTTCATAACTATACATTCGGAATTACATACACATCCATAACTTCATAACTATACATTCAGAATTGCATAACTACACATCCATAACTTAATAACTATACATTCAAAATTGCATAACTACACATCCATAACTTCATAACTATACATTCAGAATTGCATAACTATGTATCCATAACTTCATAACTATACATTCAGAATTGCATAACTATGTATCCATAACTTCATAACTATACATTCAGAATTGCATACATAAGTACACATCCATAACTTCATAACTATACATTCGAAATTGCATGCATAACTACACATCCATAACTTCATAACTATACATTCAGAATTGCATGCATAACTACACATCCATAACTTCATAACTATACATTCAGAATTGCATAACTACATATCCATAACTTCAAAACTATACATTCAAAATTGCATAACTGCACATCCATAACTTCATAATTATACATTCAGAATGTAAAATTATAAAATTATGAACATATGTTTACGTAACTAACAGCAATCGGAAATGATTTTTTTCTTTTAAAGTAAAACGACGCCGTTTTGCAACCGTTTACACCATGCATGGTGCACATGGTTGCACAACATACTTTGCCAAGGATGAATCCCCTTGTGATCATAATGGGGCTTAGGATATAGTCTCATAAATTAAAAAAAAAAAAAAAAATTGAGTTATCGAAAAATAATAATAATTATATCATCTGGAAGCTATATAATAATACTTGTTATATTTTAATGTGTGTCTCCAAACGCAGAATTAATTATCTGTGAATGCACAATAAGATATTATAAGATGTACAATAAGTAGTTTGTGTTAGGAAGTCGTTTGTCACTAGGTGTTGTGTTGTGGTAGGACTTAGATCTCCAGGAAGTAATGCGGGATAAAGAACTGAATCTAAGGACGGATATTTATGAAATTCTTGTGCAAGATGAGATGGAATGCTGATATGATGTCGAGGAATGGATAGCGCATCTAAGTTCCAAATTGGTTCACTTGTGACATGAGAGGGCTTATGGATTATACATACATATATACATGAATTAGTTGTGGATATCTGCCTTGCCTCTGCTTCCAACTCATCCATTGCCATTGGTGTTTAGTTGTTGTAGAGTTGAAAAATTAAACCAAATTTTGTCAACTTTGTAAAGCTAAGCTAACTACTTGATGCATCATGGGTCTCACCTTCATTCGTATGGAGCAATCTTTAGCTTCGAGTGTCGATGCGGTATCAGCCTAAGCTTCACTCATAAACAACTGGACTTCAATTCTCTCATGTCTCTGCTTTAATATCATGTCCTCTTTTCAATTTCTTGCATTGTTTTGTCGTTTTATAAAGAGATCACTGAACCTGCTAGCTCATACCTTAGCCAAAGCTGCAGACTCGACTCTCAGTTGATTCTCGATTTTGAGATACTTATCTACTCGATTGTATCTTTCCTTTACTATCAGTTTAATAAATTTTCCTTTTCCTTTAAAAAAAAAAAAAAAAAAAAAAGAAGACAATATACTTGCATATAGTTCAAAGATATATTCTACAGACTACAGTGTCTGGAATTAAATTATTGGCGGCTAAATTCGTGGAATATCTTTGTTTTTATTTAACTTTAACATACCTTTGATTTGAAATTTCTATTCATTGTAGTTAATGACAAAAAGAGCAAATAAGGTAAATTATTTTCTGAACCACAGTCCAAAACAATGTCGTCATTAAATACTATGAGTAAAAATAATGTATATTACGTGTTAGAATAATGTACATAACGTATTCAAATACTGAAACTTCTAGAGCTTACATATAGAATAATATACATTATGAGTTATAAAAATGTATAATGTTGCGATTCACATGAAGAAAAAAAATCACACAAAACAATGATGTTTTTTGGACCGTGGACCACAGGTCACGCAATAACTATTGAACAAATAAACAACCAAATAAGAATAACCAGACATGGTGAATAACTGAATACTGAACAAAAATATAGTATAATAATAGACTCAAGACTAAAAAAAATTAGTGGAAGCCCTTAAAGAAAATAAAAAAGGAAACACCAATTGAACACTACAATCAAAAAATACTCTCCCTTAGCACAAGCACAGGAAGCTGTTTCTATGACTGATTAGGTTGAGTGGTTTTCCACTCCCCCTTCTCCCTTCTACAATCGTTGATTTGAAGAGGCTTAATATACCTGTTTAATTTAGTTTTACTTACCCTAACAAAAAAAAAAAAAAAAACAACTGCCCCTCAAGAAACGCTATTACATGTACTCAATATCTTCTTCTCTTTGTTCCAAGATTATATTAGCCATGGCAAGTCTATAAGCAGTGGACCTCAAATTCCTAACCAGCACATAGATTTCCTTCCTCCGCTTAATGGATGGAGCCCTCCATTGATCCTCTCTAAGACAAGCAAGATTGATCGCCTCACAAAGCGCCACTGCAACAGGATTTTTGCTGCAGGAAGATGATATCCGAATCAATACAACATACATAAATGCTTGGCAAGTTGCTAAGAAAAACGACAGAAATTTTTCTTTATGAAAAATATATTTATTACTGACCTTCCTTGTACAAATCCTGTTGTAACAAAACCAATTGGCAGCCTATAAGAGTCTCTAGATGAAGGGTCAGTAGGGAGTTGACATTCCCATTTTCCATCTTGCTGCACAAAGTATGATCTCACCGAAGATTCAGTCATTTGAAGTTCTCTGTCAGGATTTCCAGATCTGCATTCCACAAAAGGTCCACTAAGCTTAAAAATATTCAAATATGCATACAATCATGTATAAATCCATGAAATAAATTAGGCACATGGCACATTCTTATAAACAGAGCAAAGATATTTCAAATGTAATTTAAGATCATATATCACACCATGCAAATTTTAAAATGATTAAAAATGAGAGTCATCTTTAAAAAAAAAAAAAAAAAAAAAAAAAAAAAAAAAAAGCCAAAAAGTAATTACCTCTGTGTCCACAACAATATATCATCAACATGAGGTGCACAAACCACTGCTCCTCCTTCAAAAAAGCCTTTGCTGTAGGCATGCAGCAATACTCTTACGAAACACAATTTTGGTCCATAATTTACACGATAGATGACCTTATCTGAGTGCTCATTCACCATTTTTTCATCTTTAATGAAGTTAGAAATACACTCCTTCCTGTTCGGAAATTTGGGAAACAAAAGCAAATGACTTCCATTGATTTTATCCAAAAACTGACTCAAAATGTAGGATGTCCTTGCTATAAACCCCACAAACGGATTATCACAATGATCATCTGCATCTGGGCTGTTTTTTGTCCTTTCTTTTGCACTGAAGTCTTTACATTGCACTTGATAATTTCTTTCCACAAATGATCTTTTGTCAAGAGCAAGGTGGACACTGTTCCAAGGAGGTAGAATTGGAACTCCAAAGGGTCTCATGGAAGGAGGATTTCTCTCCACCTTTTCATCAGCAGCAGCGGCTTCCATTTTCATAAAACATGAATATGAATTGCAGTCAGGAAAGTCGGAAGGAAAGTATGGCAACTCAGCCTGCAAAGGGAAAGAGGAATTAAAAGGAATATCAGAAGACCTTGTAAAATCACTGGCAAAGGAAATTGTGCACTTACTTCACATGCAATCCATTGCTTCTCTCTGAGACCAATTGCATGAGCACCATTGGTGATGAGACTAATCCAAAAGACCTTGACCCAACTTAGTGGGAGAAGGATAGACCACCTACGAGAATTTTAAGGACTATTAGGTATTTGAACCGTTTGAACTTTAAAGAAAAACAATTGACCATCCTTTCAAGTTCTTTGGTAAATTATGATTTAAATCACAATCAAAATCAATCAGCTAAGAACCTAGAAAAGGATGACAAACACCATTTGCAAATTGTTGAGAATTAAATTCACAAGAACTGAGAAATTAGTTGAACAGAAACCTGAAGATAAAATATTAAGAGTAACAGAATCTAGCATCATATGAGAAGAATTAAAAGTGTGCAAACATGAATGCAAACACTTGCATCAAACTAAAAGATGTGTTGTACATAATTGCATATTGCATACTACCTATCATAGTATTATACTTGATCACTGTTGAAGGAGTTTGGAGAATAAAGTATTGTCTTGTTATTTACACTCTGTCTACAAGCAACTACACAGCACCATATATATAGGTAGAAGATGGAATACTAATAGGGCCCTAGGGATACTAACAGACATAGAAACTGAACAGTCATAGGAAATAATAAAAGCATAATAATGAGTCTTAATGAGTCTCAACATCCCCCCTCAAGCTGGAGCATGAATATCAAAAGCTCCAAGCTTGGTACACAAATATTCAACTCTGGGACCTCTTAAAGCTTTGGTGAAGATATCAGCCAACTGATCATTTGTACCCACGAATGAGGTAACGATTTCCCCGGATGTAATCTTTTCGCGAATAAAATGACAATCGACTTCGATGTGTTTTGTTCTCTCATGAAAGACAGGATTGGATGCAATATGCAAGGCTGCTTGATTGTCGCACATTAGTTTAATAGGCCCTTTCATGCAAAGATTTAATTCAGTCAAGAGATGCTTTAACCAGATTAGTTCACATGTTCCCAAGGCTATTGACCGATATTCTGCCTCTGCACTCGATCGAGCCACCACATTTTGCTTCTTACTTTTCCAAGATACTAGATTGCCACCAAGGAAAACGCAGTACCCTGATGTTGACTTTCTATCCCAAGAGCACCCAGCCCAATCTGCATCAGTATAACCAACAATCTCTGTATTTCCACGATCCTTGTATAAAACACCGTTCCCGGGAGACTTCTTGATGTATCGTAGGATCCTAATGACAGCTTCCCAATGGCTATCACACGGAGAAGCCAAAAATTGACTCACAACGCTAACTGCAAAAGAGATGTCAGGGCGAGTGACGGTTAAGTACAACAATTTTCCAACCAATCTTCGATATCTTCCTGGATTTGAAAAGGGCTTCCCTTGTTCCGGTACAAGCTTAATGTTAGGATCCATGGGAGTATCAATAGGTCTGCAATCACTCATACCTGTTTCCTCTAATATGTCTAAAGCATATTTTCGTTGAGATATACAAATCCCTTGCTTTGACTGGGCAACTTCTATCCCTAAGAAGTATTTTAATTTTCCAAGGTCTTTTGTCTCAAAATGTTGGAAAAGATGTTGCTTTAGCTGGAGTATTCCTTCTGCATCATCTCCTGTGATAACAATATCATCGACATAAACAACAAGATAAACGCTCTTACCATGTCGATGCCGGTAGAATACAGAATGATCCACTTTGCTTTGGACTAACCCAAACTCTTGCAGAACTGTACTAAAACGTCCGAACCAGGCACGTGGAGACTGTTTCAATCCATAAAGAGAACGTTTTAATTTGCAAACCAAATCAGTCTCCCCCCCTTGAGCAACAAAACCCGGAGGTTGCTCCATATACACCTCTTCTTTTAGATCCCCATGTAAAAAGGCATTCTTGATGTCAAGTTGGTATAGAGGCCAATGATGGATGGCAGCAATAGACAGAAAGATTCTGATAGAAGAGATCTTGGCTACGGGTGAGAACGTATCAGTGTAATCAACGCCAAACACTTGAGTATACCCCTTGGCTACAAGGCGAGCTTTGAGTCTATCTATCTGTCCATCAGGCCCAACTTTGACATTATAAACCCAACGACAACCAACAACTGTTTTGCCAGGAGGTAATGGAACCAAGTCCCAAGTTCCCGAGGATTGCAAAGCAACCATTTCATCTACCATAGCTTGCTGCCAACCAGGATGGGAAAGAGCTTCCCTAACCGAATTAGGAACAGAAACAGATGATAAACTGGAGATGAAAGCATTGTAAACAGGGGAAAACCGGTGATAAGAGACAAAATTATATATAGGGTAGGGATTGCGAGTAGACCGGTTACCTACCCGACTAGCAATGGGCGGACTGGAGATTGGAGCAGGACCCGAATCCGAGGGAAGGGACCGCTCAGGAGATGAATCAGCAGGTTCAATGTTTGCAGCAGTAGTGGTTGGTGGTAATTTTGACCGACGATGATAGGTGAACTGGAAAGGAGAAACAGTGTGGGTTTGTGATGGATTGGGAGGTAGGACAACAGGAGATATTGGTATTTCTGTCCCTCCTTCAAATGAGGGAACTGGTAGGACATCAGGAAAAGGATCCACCACCCTTATAGAGTCAGATGAAAAGAACGGAGTGTACTCAAAGAAGGTAACATTTGGTGATACATAGAATCGCTGTGTCTCAGGACAATAACACCTGAACCCTTTTTGAACCCTAGAGTACCCCACAAAAATACATTTCAAGGACTTGGGTGACAGTTTATCACGACCAGGAGTAATATCCCGAACAAAGCAAGTGCAACCAAAAACCCTCAGCGGAAGCTTGTGTAATGACTCTTGAGGAAACAATATGTTATAAGGTATTTTGCCATGTAGAACAGACGATGGCATACGGTTAATAAGGTAACATGAGTGGAGGATAGCATCTCCCCAGAAATAAGAGGGAACCTTATAGTGAAGGAGCATAGTCCGAGCGGTTTCCACTAGATGCCTATTCTTTCGTTCAGACACACCATTCTGTTGTGGAGTATCTGGACAAGAAGACTCATGGAGAATACCTTCAGAGTCAAGGAGGGTAGACAAAGGAGTATTGAAATATTCCCTGGCATTATCACTTCGAAGAACTTTAATAGAGACTCCAAATTGATTCTTGATTTCATTATGAAATTTCTGAAAGATGTTGAATAGATCAGAACGTCGTTGCATTAGGAAAACCCAAGTACAACGCGAAAAGTCATCAATAAAAGTAACAAAATATTTAAAACCTAACACAGAAGTGACACGACAAGGGCCCCAAATATCACTGTGAACTAAGGAAAAAGGGGATGAGGACACTTTATTAACCCGTTCAGGAAAGGAGGTTCTTGAATGTTTCCCAAATTGACAAGATTCACACTCTAGTGAAGACAGCTTTGAGAGACTCGGTTCAAGTTGTTGTAGTTTCTTCAAACTTGGATGACCTAGACGACAATGAGTAAGGGAAGGAGAAATAGTAGCACTACAGACAGCGGAAGCAGGAGTGGATAGACGGTATAACCCTTTTGATTCATACCCCGAGCCAATCGTCTTCCCCGAACGACGGTCCTGTATAACAACCGAATCAGGAGAAAAAGTGACAAGACAATCAAGAGAACGAGTAAGTTGACGAATGGAAATCAAATTAAAAGGACAAGTAGGTATATGCAAGACTGATGACAAGGGTAAATCAGGAAGAGGTCTTGCTTTACCAACTCCTTTAGCAGAACATATGGATCCATTACCAAACACAATGGACGGAAGAGACTTAGAGTTTGTGAGATGGGTCAATAAGGAAGAATTACCACATATATGTTCGGAGGCACCTGAATCAAGGACCCAGGGTCCGAGAGGTCCAGATTGAGAAACAAGGGCAGCATGAGTCTCTCCCGTATGAGCCAAAGGAGTGAAAACAGTAGCTTGGGCATTAGCCTTAAACCGTGCAAACTCTTCATATTCAGCAAGAGAGACATTTTTAGAACCTGATTCTTCTAGTTTGAGTTGAGCCACATTTGTAGGAGCAGTCAACGGTTTCCCATGCAGTTTCCAACATCGGTCCCGTGTGTGTCCAGATCTATTGCAGTAATCACAGTATCTAGCATTTTTCTGCCCACTACGGTCTTTATTCCGATTGCCCAGATTATTACCACGACTTCCTTGAATCACAAGAGCAGATTGTTCTGTAGTGGATGCAGAAGTTTCACCAGGAAAAGAGGCCACTTGAAGAAGGCGTTTGAACAACTCTTGGACCCCTGGCACACCTTTATCCCCAAGAATCTGGTTTCGAGTATTCTCAAACTCGGGGCCTAATTTAGTCAAAACCAGAACAACAAAAAACTTTTCACGTTGGGCAATCTGTTCATCAGGTGTCCCTCCAACGGGTAAAAGCTTATTAAACTCAGTTAATAAACTTTGAGTTTTCCCAAGAAAGGCTTCCATACTCATACCATCCTTCTTTAAATTAACCAAATTATCAACAACTGTGTAACATTGTGAAATATCATTAGTGTACAAGGATTTGGCTTGACTCCATACCTCAACACATGTTTTAAAAACTCTAAATAGTTGAATTAACTCAGGTGAAAGGGATTGCCATAGAAGACTACAAAGTTGTGCATCCACCCTTTTCCAAATTGCCTTCTCATTTTCTGGTACCTCAGTTTCTACCCCATGTTCCAAGTGGTCAATAACACCCTGGCCCATAAACCACATTTCAACGGCATCCGACCAAGAGTGGTAGTTTTGTGACCCACATAATTTTTCAGAGGTAATAACTGGATTTCCAGATAAATTAGGCACAAACACTGAGCGAGAAATAGCATTTTCAACATTGGTAGAAGTAGCATTTTCAACATTGGTAGAAGTTTCCTTGGTTCCAGTTGAAGACATGGTTGATAAAAAGGAAGAATATTACCAGGAAAGCCAGAGGAGGGTCGAAAATGAAACTGGAAAATATCGCCGGAAAATATCGCCGGAGGAGGTCTCACGCGCCGGCGCGTGGAGGCGCGTGGCGGCGGAAGGCTGCGCGTGAGGTGGCGCGTGAGGGCGCGTGCGGCGGCGGTTTGAGACGGGACTTCGACGGCCGGGGTCGCCTGCACTTCCTGACCGGCGGTGGTTCTTCGGAATTTTATGAAAACTTGCGATGAGGAGTTTTCGAAGAAGAAGCGTAGACAGACCCTGCACTGCTACTGTTCATCCTCGAAATGCTCGGAAATAAAAAGGGGTTCAGGCCAATGGTGGCTCTGATACCATGTTGAAGGAGTTTGGAGAATAAAGTATTGTCTTGTTATTTACACTCTGTCTACAAGCAACTACACAGCACCATATATATAGGTAGAAGATGGAATACTAATAGGGCCCTAGGGATACTAACAGACATAGAAACTGAACAGTCATAGGAAATAATAAAAGCATAATAATGAGTCTTAATGAGTCTCAACAATCACCAATTAAAGGAAATTCACCTTCTGATGGAAGATTTCTGCCCGTAATTTTTTATTAGCAGAAGTGGACATGATCTTGGAAACTGCATATTATTTGGAGTATTTGATGCCCCAGAAATTCTATCACCAATCCGGAACAACTCCATTCGCTGATTGTGTCTCTCCATGCAAAGAATACTTTCCTCTACAGGAGGACTTAATTCTTTGTCAACATGCCACAAATCCATGTACTCACATGAGTCACAACTTTCTTCAAATTCTAAGCATTGACGTGAAAGTAAATTGCATTCCTCTTTAGGATTTTCCACCAAACCACCATGTCCTTTTATTTCATGTTCTTTATAAGCTTGCATTCCTAGAGCAGTTATATCTGGAGCATTAGCAATATCTTCCTTGGTAAAAGCACGAGGATCAACAACGGTAAGGGAAACAACTCCAAAAGAAGGAATTTGATCTTCCTCAAATATTTTCACAAATTGACTTTCTCTGTCACAACCAGATACAGAACACTTCTTGAGCAGGGAAGATTTTTCTGCACTGCTGCATAGACAAGGATACCACTCAGCATTCTGATCTAGTCATTTAGCTGAAGTAGAAGCTCAAAGTCAATAATTATCTCACCAGGTAGCAGGATGTAATGTCTTTTTAAGGACCTGAAGTGTCCTAGATCCTATCACTTCTAATTTTGCAACGCGATCATCAAGGGGGATGCAACTAACTTTGCAGGTGCTGGCATTTATCTGATGGTTAAGAACAATAGAACTAGTGATCTATACTGCACAAACAAAATACAACTACCATAAAATCTAAATTACCTCAAATATAAGAATAAAAAAAAAATTACTGATAAATGGAGAATATCAGTTATAACCATTTAAGAAATTACAATATCTGACAAAGCAATTATTACACATACGAAAACCTAGAGTAATAGTTTAGAAGATAGAGTTCAGTAGCTTACCTGTTGTATACAGGCAGATTGTAAAGCCTCAAACCCTTCTTTATGAGCTGAAGCATGTATGAAAATCCATAGCCGCCTAGAGGAAGCAAAGTCATCAACTCTATTTTGCCTCTCACATTCGTCTACATTAGAGACCTCAACATTGAGCCCACGGACATTCCGAGGTTGCCACATATAGGTGACAGGGGCGATGGCAGAAGAGAAGGATACTCCATAATGATGAAGCTGCAAAAGTACACACAATTATTGATTATCATAAAAAATAATTTCCTGGGGGAAAAATCATGAACATAGGCAACCTACCATAGCATTACCACAGATAGAACCTGAGAGTATGTCCTGGGAAGCATTTTCACACTGTGATGGTGGAGGAACAATCATGTTGTTTAGGATTGATATCAACATATCCTGAAAGCATATATAGTATGGTTAATAGACTTGTAATTTCAACATGTAGAGTAATGTCTGTGAAGCAGAGTATCATTATTTGTTTTTCTTTATTTTTCCTTACAAATCGCTGGACCTAGATGATGAATGTATTGCAACATTTTTAAAGCTAATATTGATTCTAAAGAGTAATTACAGAAACAACCTCCACGAACTACTAAAACCTATTGGTATTACAAAGCATCCTTCAGCAGCACCAAACAAACAATACGACAGGGTAAACTCACACCAATAAGTAACATAAAAGCAATGGAATGCCTACCTCTGGACCCTCCAACTGTATGACACTAGAATAGCTTGCATCGTGCACAAGCACACTGTCTTTCAGTTTCTTCAAAAGTGCCCTTGAGCCTCTTCCTCTGCATCATTTATACATATTGAAAATTAATGGAAAAAATGACAACACAGATTTTCTTTCCTTAGACAACTTAAGACACTTCAAAGATAATAATGCAACCTTAGCAACTTAAACTTTTATTAATTTGTCACTCCTGGAAGAAATGGCAGTGTCAATAATGATATAACCATATAAGTGGCATATGCTTGGAAAGCTTGCCCAGATATCCCAAGTTAAAGATATTGTGTTCAAGAATTTTACTTTTATCTTTTCTTTATTCAAGTGTTTGCATTTTGGTATACCTGCCTTGTAGGCCAAGGGGAAGGTAAAACCCCCAAAGTTTTGCCATTGTGAAACGCTTTGCATGCCATATATGTGTTCTAAGTCTTTTTGTCCCATCTCCTGAAGTCAAAAACCCACTATTGGGATTCATCCTAAGTTCAGTTCTCCTACGAACACGGCGGGGAGCCTCCTTATCATTCTCCAAACTGTCAGTCTTGTCCACATCATTGTTTCCTACCTTCCGCTTCTTTCTATGTCTGTTCTTTGTTACTCGATTGTCATGCCCAGTTGTCCTTCTCCTCTTGCTTCTTTGTGACCGAAAATCATTGCTTAAGCGGTTCTTGATAATTGAGTGAAGAGTCTCAAGTTCAGATGCTCGAGATTCAGCAAATTTCTGCACATTAATGGTTCGAGGTGGTGCTACCGCAGTTTGAGGTCTACTTCTATCTGGTGTCATCTTCAGTAAAAAGAAGGAATAACAAATAAAATAAAAATTAATAATAACAGTGATAACCTAATCAATCTTTCTTATCCTAGGAAAATTCTATCAATAACAGCACTAAGCTTCTCAATGATAGAACTTATCAATTGCACTTTCTATTTTCATTCACTTCACAAGATTATGTGAAAACCAATGAGATATAAACTAACAAAAAAGAATATGAATACAACTGGTGGCTCATATATTGCAACAATAAGCAAGTAGCATTTCTTATCATCGTTAACTATAAACTCAAACAAATAGTAGCAGCATAAAAGTAAACACCATTCAGCAACCTAGTAGCTATTAGCTTCAGAGCAGTAAAATTGCAGAAACAGTAGCAGCAACACTAACAGGTTAGGTTAGAGCCCTAACATTATTGACTCTTATTAAGATTGTAGATGTAGATACATGATTATGAATCACATGACAATCAATCAAATAACTACAAAACCAAGTTCATAATACAAATCCAACAACACAAGTTTAATAACTGCAAAACCACAAGTCTATAATACAATTATACAAAAATCCAACACAAGTTTTAAACACAACAAAAAACCATAAGTCCATAATACAAAAATCCAAGTATCCAACACATAAACAAAGTAATCCAATTACTGCAAGTGACTCATAGGTATTTGTGGCTATCTATAGTCAATTTCTTTATGATGTCGCAAATCAGGAATCAGCGCACTTATATTGAGAAAAATTAAAGGAGTAACAATCCACCTAAATGCAAATGGAAGATTTCCAATGCAATTTACATTTTTATATACCTTAACTATTTAAGCGCACATACCATATGTCCTAGAATTACAATATTAAGAATGCTTTGGCATTTGTCTTTGAGGTCATGCCCATGAGTCCATGACATCTTAGCATTTCACCATGAGACCTAGTTTGAACCCTAGATATTACTCAAGTGTTTCTGTCTTCTAAGAACATCGATTTCATCTCTTATTAATAATGTCCAATCTCTTTTCCTTATTCCCAGAAAATTTAGTGACTTGATCCAGCTTCTGTCGCAAAAGTTGTTTAGAATTTTCAGACAACAAACCAGTCATAAGAGATACAAATAAAGTATGATATCCCAAGCAACAAGGCCGCGGCCTCCGTCCATGGCCGCAGCCCTCAGTCTCCGTCCACCACCGTATCCTACACTCCTCCGGTCACGATAATTTACAATTACATTATCAAACTAACCTGTTTGCTCCGCTCGTGAGTCCAGTTACCGGAGATAGTATGAAGCCGTCGCAGTCTGGCGGTCTTCCACTCGTCCAGGTCCAGCGTCCCTTCGTAGCTGCGTCCGACGGGCGAAGACTGCGTTAAATCGGGAATGGATAGCCGAATAGGAACAAATTTGGGGGTTAAGGTTTTCTAATTGAAAAATATAATAAGGTTTAATGGTAAAATAGTTACTCTATAAGTAAATTTTGACTTATTTGACCACTGTTAATTATTTGATTTGGTTTAAAAATCAATATAAGTGTTTGATTAATTAGCTTTTTGCAATGTTGAAAAAATCACTAGGCACCTTCTAAGCGCTTAGGGACCGCCTAGGGCACCTAGAACGCCTAGGCGCGCCTAAAGCGCCTAGGAGGTCGATCGCCTAGCGCCTGCCTAGGCGCAATTTTTGTAACACTGGCTTTTTGTATTCTAAAATGCTAAAATTCAAAAAACTACTCAAAGCAATCTTTTCAATTAGCTTTTTGATAAAAGAAATTATATCAAATACCTATCAGCTAACATCTAATTTACCAAACACCTTTCTACAATCAGCCAATGTTATCAACTAGTTATATCTTCTAATTAACCCAATCAGCTAACAACTAACAGTCATTTACCAAACAGGGCTTTAAATATAAAAGTTATTGTGGTATTAATGTAAGGGGGCGTTTGGTTCAAGTCATCTTAGAATTACTTAGGTAATATGAGTTTGTTAATATTATATTATCTTGTTTGATTCAAGTTATGAGATTACCTGATAATATTATATTACTTGAAAGCTTATGCGGTGATAATGTTATTACCTTCATTTTGTTAGGTAATTTTATATGAGGTCATGTTCCTACATGTGGTCTGTGGACAGAATCTGGCCTTTGATTTTGAGTTGATCTATGATTCATATTTTTTCAGCTATTTTTGGTTTTTTTTTTTATTTCATATTTTTTCGCGTGATTGTGGTAAGAGCTATATAGTCTTTGTTTTTTTTTTTTTTTCCTTTTATTTTTTGGGGTTTGATTTTCGGATGATTTGCTTGATTTTAGGTGTATTGTATATGGTAATTTAAGATATCGTTCATTTAAATTAGGATGCAGCGTGTCTTTTTATATTCGTTGTAGTTTTCTGTGATTTTTGTGTGTGTTGTTCCAGAGTGTGCAGTCTTCATTGTTCTTTTTTGCAGCATTCTCTGTGCAAAGGCCTATGGATTCTCCAGGTTAGGATTTTAATTTGTTTCGTCTATATATTTATTGAGCAGTAGGTGTTGTTTGGTTTGTGCATGATTAGGTGTTATTGTGTAAGATATGGGGTGGCGGTGTGGTGTATTGGCGTTGGTATTTACACACTTTAATCGTGGTATTTGGTCGTTGGATTAGTCATTGACGTAGGGATGGGGCTTATTGTTCCCATTAGTAGTTGTGGTTTATGGGTTATGAAATATATATTATTTGGTTGTTGTAATTCTCATTTTATTTTTTTCGTTATTTCCATTGGCTTTTGGTATTCGTCTGTATTTTGTATTGCTATTTTATGCGGGTTTCCTTGTTGGTTGAACAACATGAGTTGTATGTGCTGTTTGTGTGTTCTGTGTACATGTCCTTTGCATTGTATAATTTTGTGGCGCAATCCTATTCATTGGGTGTTTTGTTTCGGTTTTCATTTTTGTATTCTGTTTTTTTAGCCCTTAAGTTATGTTATCGGTCTTTTTTCGTGGTTTATTTCCTGTGTGTTTTATTTGTTTTTTTCGTATTTGTTCGAAGGGTTCTGGCTGGGGTGGTTACTTCGTAGTGTGCATATGTTGTCATTTGAAGTGTGCAACCAGTATGTTACGTTTTTTTTTTATTTATGTTTTTATGTGGAGCATGTTGGTTTTGATTGTTTGTTTTTTTGTTTATGTGTGTGTTTCTGGGTGATGTTTGTGCAGTACGTTCGGGATCGATTCAAGGTTGTGTTATGGACGTGTCTCCCGATGGAACTAAGTTCTGGACTCCTTCGTGTGATGAGGTGGTTAGGCCTTTTGAGGGGCAGCTTTTTCCTTCTCTTGCTCACGGTATTGTTTTTTATCGCCAGTATGGGTCTCTTGTTGGTTTTTACGTACGTTGTAGTTCAGTGCGTAAGAATAGGGAGGGTGTGGTTGTAAAAAACTTGTTGGTTTGTTCACGTGAGGGATTCAAGCAAGGGGGGAATAGACCCGGTGTTGTGAATGGTGCGTTGGATCAACCAGTTGTGGCTCCAAAGCGCCGGCGTGTTTCGAATAGAGTGGGTTGCAAAGCTAGGATGTTGTTGAAGATGGTTGACGATGGGGTTTTTGTGGTTCATTTCATTGAGCACCGACATAATCATTGTCTTTGCTCGGATGTGGCTAGGCCGTTCCTGCGGGTTAATCGTTCCATGGATGTTCAACACCAAATTTTTGTGCTTAAGTGTGCCAGGGCCAACGTTGGGCCTAATAGGTCATTTCGCTTGGCTAGGGAGTTTGCGGGGTCATATTCCAATGTTGGTGCAACATGTGTGGACTTTAAAAACTTGAAGCGTGACTTAATGGCGTATATTGGCACTTCTGATGCTCATTTGTTGTGAAAAAATATGCTAAGAAGGTAGAAGATTGCCCAGACTATTTCTTTAAATATGATTTGGATTCTGAGGATCAGTTACGGAGGGTGTTTTGGGCTGACCCTATTGCGAAGGAAAATTATTTAACTTTTGGTGATGTGGTGTCGTTTGATGCGACTTATGGTACTAATATGGTAAGCCACATTTTTTCTAAAAATTCCCAGTACTTTGTTTATTTTTAAATTGCTTGTTTGTGCAGTTTGGTCTTTTTTATTTGTGCATGCAGTGTGCTAACGCCCATGGTTCTATTCGTTTTTTGGTTTGGTGTTATGTCTTGCAGGTATGGTATGGTATTGGTGCCATTTACTGGTGTTGATAATCACAGGAGAGGCGTCACGTTTGCAATTGGTTTGATTTCTCGTGAAGATGTGGATTCTTATGTGTGGCTCCTTCAACAATTTAAATCTGCAATGGGTTGTGTGCCTAGTTGCACTATCACTGACCAAGATCCTTCGATGCGGATTGCAGTCCCACAGGTGTTTGGTACTACGCGCCACAGGTTTTATATGTGGCATATAATGTCAAATGTTGGTGAGAAGGTTGGTAATGTTCTATCTAAAGACGAGGAGTTTCGACGTGCTTTGAATGATGTTGTTTGGAATGAGACGTTGTCCGTGGAGGAGTTTGAGCGGGGTTGGCAGGACGTAATGGAAAAGTATAGCCTTGGTGATCACCGGTGGTTTCGTCTGATGTATGATCTGAGATCGTATTGGATTCCTGCGTTTTTTAATGATCTTTTCATGGGTGGCTGCTTCGCACGACATCCAGGTCCGAAGCTGCGAATAGTGTGTTTGGTAGTTGCACAAACCAACATGCTAGTTTGTCTGAGATGTTCAACAATTTTGAAGGGGCTATTGATGCTTAACGTGCAACGCAGGCCAAACTGAATGCGGAATGTGAGGGCCATTTTCCTACCTCCGAGACTCCGTTGTTGATTGAGAAGCATGCGGCTGTAGTGTATACTGTCAACGTTTTTTATGATGTTCAAGCCGAGGTTATTGCGGGATCTTTTTCGTGTCGTTCTGTTCGTTCAAATGTTGAAGGGGTGGTAACCCGTTATGAGGTGCAAGATGGTGATGAGTTGGTGCACACGGTGATTTTTGACTCTGGTAATATTGTTGTGAAGTGTACGTGTAACATGTTTACACGGGTTGGGTTACTTTGTCGTCATATTTTTTGGATTTTCAAGGACCGCAAGTTGTTTCTATCCCTTCTCGGTATGTTGTTTCACGTTGGACTGGGGGTGCTTGTGTGCGGCAGTTGTTGGGGGTTCAACGTCGGGGGTCGGCGGATGTAGATGTCGTTATTGGTGAAGCTTGGGCAGAATTCTTCTCGTGCATGACCATCGCGTCACGGAGTGTTGATCATGTTATGAAGCTGACTGCATCTTTGAAAGATTTCAACGCTAATTTATTGGCTGAGAATGGTCCCAGCGATCCCTCTTCTTCTTCTAAGAAGCAACTTTTTGAGGCGTTTTGCGATGCTTCGCCCGATGGTGAAGTTCATATTCGTCCTCCTCCTATCTCCATTAACAAGGGTGGTGGCAAACGTTTCAAAAGTTCAAGGGAATTAGCTGTTGAAAAGGCCGGACGTCGTCAACGACAATGCCAAACTTGTGAAAAGTATGACCATAATAGTCGTACATGCCCGATGCGGAACGTAAACATTTGAGGGCAGGACTCGTACTGGTCTTTGAATTTTATTTAAGTTTCAACACATTGCTATGGTTTTTACTTCTCCAATGACTTGTTCTTATTCTGCATTTTCTGTTGGTTTTAAAATAATGAGTTTGTTTTGTTTTGTTTATTGGGTTTGTTTTCAAATATGTGGAACAATTTTATGACATGCGTTTTTTACATATATTTTGTCAATTTTTCAATGCGCTGTTATTATTATTGTGGCTTCGTTACTTCTTTAAATAATGACATGCCTTTGGTATTGTTTTATTTTGTTTCCCCATTTTTTTTAACCATTCCCCAATTGCATACTGTTGTTTCGTGCCTTTGCACATCGTTTCTGGTATTTTAACCAATATTACACATATGCTTCCTCTTGCATTGCACATCACTTCAACTTTTCTTGAAATCATGCACATTCCATCGGGGATTGCTACTGGTTGCACATTCAAGTACGGAGTCGTTGCACGATTCCTGGTTAATGAATATATTGCATTTCTATAACCTTCATCGTTGCACATCCAACTTTGGGGTTTACTACTGGTTGCACGTTCAAGTATGGGGTCGTTGCACGATTCCTGATTTATGAATAAATAGCATTTCTATATTCTTCATCTTTGCACATTCCAGCTTTGTGTGTTACTACTGTTTGCACTTTCGAATATTGAGTCGTTGCATGAATTCTAACTAATAAATAAATTTCATTTTTATAACCTTCATCTTTGCACATTGCATCTGGCATTGGGCTACTGTTTGCACATTCAAGTACGGAGTCGTTGCACGAATGCTGAATTATGAAAATCCATTTCACGTGTCTAAACTATTGCATATTCACATATTTTGGGTTCTTTTACGCCTTTGTCAGTAGCCCGGTGCGTGTTTGTGAACCTAATGTTGGGAATCGCGCGCAGTCCTAGTATAACTACACTTTTAAGATCAAAAATAAGTTAATGCACATTTGCAAACAAAACAATTCTTCCTGGCCAATTTCAATGGTCTAGTACCAGACGTTATCTACCTTATTCGTGTGTCTTTTAGGCATCAAAAACTAATTCCCAATCTCAGATAAAACCACTTTCTCCAATTGCATTCTTTCTCATATTTTCCACTCAACAAGTACGCTACACCTGTTGCGTGAATTCTCCCTGGTCGAATATAGGTGAGCTTTGAAGGTTTTTGCCGTGCTACTCATTACACTCGCTGAGCAAGATCTCCTTCATATACCTCATTCTAAATGTTTCGATTGTGGACTTGTCTCCTTTGCGTAGTCCACATTTTCAATTCCTAACTTGCTCCCCTATGAAGCACTCCATGTGCGTCATTGCTGATAGACACATTTTACACTCATATTTTAGGTACATCTTTATAATAATTTTGCATTGGTTATTTAATATTATCTAATAATTAGTTCTTTTTATATATAATATAATATATAATATATAATATATATAATATATAGTATATATATATATATTACGCACAAACTAAACATATATATATAATATAATATATAATATATAGAATATACTATTAATATATAGTACGTACTAGTACATATATATATATATATATATATATATATATATATATATTATAAAGATATAAAAGGTCCACTTTATATATATAATATAATATATATATAACATTATGTACTAATATATCCTCCCCTCAATTTGTTTTGTACAGGTTGAGCAAAATTATAGCGGAAGTGGAAGATGTCTTCAGGACGTGAGGCAAGAAATTAGGAATTGGGTGGTGGAAATTCATTTGACCTATTTTTAGAATGCTATAAATAGCAGGAGTTTCCTATTGTAAAATGTTCATTCTTCCCCTCTCGAATATTCTTTAAGGTTGTTATCAATGCCCATTCGCGGCTAATTTCTTGTTTAGTTTAGTGAATTGAAGCCCCGGAGTTCATTACGCTGTAAGGTTATTTATTTATTTTTATTATATATTTTTTATGCATTTGAGTATTAAATATTCTTCTAAGTTATTTGAAATAATTGTGTCATTTAATTGCTAGGGAGGCCTACTAGTTATTTATTTGATATAATTATTTGCTATATTAGATAATGTTGTGCTACAAATTACTCTAATATTCAGTAGCAACTGGGTTAATTATTGACGGCTTAGTGATAATTGGACTCGGGTAGAATATTTTCCTAAATTAAATGCAACCGCTTGTGCTTGTGTTATTTAGTTTGTCGGTTTTCCTAGTTCCTATTGCTGCTATTAAATTAAATCTATAGCGCTTGTCTTAGATTATTTAGTAGTTAGGGGTAATTAAACCGCGTGTGCTTTAGTTACCTACAACTAAGGGAAAACGGAAATGAAATAATTTCACGACAAATATTCAACTGCATATTAATTACTTTATAAATCAATGATCAGTGTTAAACTCCGGTGGTGGATCTTTACTGACCAAGGTTTCTTATTATAAGTGTTTTCGATATATTATTTTCACTGTTTATTCGTTCGATTAAATTTCTCGTTTATTTAATTTCTCTTTTATTTAATATTTATTCTCGATATATTCCAAACCCCCCCATTATTTCCTTGAGCACAAAAGTTAAACTAGTTACTCCTCGTGGGATCGATCCTTACTCCCGCTACTACGTTTGTAAGGTTTTAATTTGGGAGCCTACGACAGCTCACCAAATTTTGGCGCCGTTGCCGGGGAGATTTTCTAGCTTATTTTGTGTTTGTTTATTTATTTAATTATTTATTTTGTTATTTGTTTATTTGTTTTTCATTACTTTTACATAATTGCAAATCAAAATATATTTTCTTTTTGTTTATACCTATAACTCGATCTGCTAATCAAGAACTCTTGCCGTACTATCCGGAAATTGAAAGAACTATACGCAGGTGGAAGAAACAAGCTTTGAGAAAATTGGAGTTTAGTGATCTGGCTACCGATTCTACCAATTCTGATTCAGAAGGGGAACCCATGGCTCAAAATCGGACTTTAAAAGAGCTTGGAGCTCCAAATTTGGATCAGCAACCTTTATGCATCACTTTTCCCGCTCTAGATGCTAATGTACAATTCGAACTGAAATCTGGATTAATTCATCTTTTGCCTTCTTTTCATGGACTTGCAGGTGAAGATCCGCACAAACACTTAAAGGAATTTCATGTGGTGTGTTCGAGTATGAAACCCACTGGGGTTACTGAGGAACAAATCAAGTTGAGAGCCTTTCCCTTTTCGTTGAAAGATTCAGCGAAGGATTGGCTATATTATTTACCCTCCGGAAGCATCACCACATGGAATAACTTAAAGACAGCGTTCCTTGAAAGATATTTCCCAGCTTCAAGGGCGGCCAACATTAGAAAGGAAATCTGTGGTATAAGACAAAACAATGGAGAGTCGTTGTATGAATATTGGGAACGTTTCAAGAAATTATGTGCAAGCTGCCCACACCATCAAATTAGTGATCAATTACTCATTCAGTACTTTTATGAAGGACTTTTCCCAATGGATAGAAGCATGATTGATGCCGCAAGCGGTGGTGCGTTAGTTGACAAGACACCAGACGCTGCAAGAACCCTAATTGCAAACATGGCTGCAAATTCTCAACAATTTGGCAATAGACTTGTCCAACCGTCTAAGCAAGTGAATGAGGTAAATATTTATGCTCTTGAACAACAAATTTCTGGTTTAGCTACTCTTGTTCGTCAATTAGCAGTAGGCAATATGCAAACCGTAGGAACATGTGGAATTTGCTCGGTAGTTGGGCACCAAACTGATGCCTGCCCAACTCTTCAAGAAGAACCTATTGAACAAGTCAACATGGCTGCGAGAACTCTAATTGCAAACATGGCTGCAAATTCCCAACAGTTTGGCAATAGACTTGTCCAACCGTCTAAGCAAGTGAATGAGGTAAATATTTCTGCTCTTGAGCAACAAATTTCTGGTTTAACTACTCTTGTTCGTCAATTAGCTGTAGGCAATATGCAAACTGTAAAAGCATGTGGAATTTGCTCGGTAGTTGGGCACCAAACAGATGCCTGCCCAACTCTTCAAGAAGTTGAACAAGTCAACATGGCTGGAGGTTTTCCTGGACAACCTCAAGGTAAGTATGATCCATTTTCTAATAAATATAATCCTGGATGGAGGGATCACCCGAACCTTAACTATGGGAACTCACAAGGGAACCAGTTTGTTCCAAATCGTTCCAACTTTCAAACGTATAGACAACAATTTCCTTCCAGGCACCAACCAGCCCAAAGCTCTAGCTCAGGTATGAATCTAGAAGATATTGTTAAATCTCTTGCTACTAACACTTTGCAGTTTCAATAAGAAACACAACTATTCCAACAAGAGACAAGGGCTAGTATTCAAGAAACAAAGGCTAGTATTCAAAACTTAGAAAGGCAAGTGGGCCAACTAGCAACTACGGTAAGTCGGTTGGAAGCACAGAGTTCTGGCAAATTACCCTCTCAAACGATCGTTAATCCTAAAGAGAATGTAAGTGCAATTACTGTGGGAAGTATGTCGCTGGAAAAGAATGTTGATTTAGACAAGGAAATAAGTGCAGGTAACATTGCCAATAAAGAGAAGTCCCAAGGTAACCTTTCTTCTTTTTCTGATTATGAACCAGTACCCCCTTTTCCTCAAGCTCTTTCGGAGCCAATAAGAGGAAACTCAAATAATGATTTATATGAGACATTTCGTGAATGTGAGGCTAATAAACCATTTTTAGATTCTATGAAAAAAGTACCTCGCTATGCAAATTTTCTAAAAGAGGTATGCACATTGAAAAATAAACAAAATAAAGGAATTGATGAAGTGAAAGTGCACGAGAATGTCTCTATGGCTAGTCAAGGAAATCTTCCTGAAAAGTGCAAAGATCCAGGTATGTTTACTATTCCGTGCATGATAAGTGGTGTGAAACTTGAAAATGCTATGTTAGATTTAGGAGCTTCTATTAATGTCATGCCATATTCTGTTTATAAATCGTTAAATCTTGGACCCCTGAATAAATCTAGTATAGT